GCCAGCTGTTCTGTAGTTCCTTTTAAAATTAAGGTAATTGATTGTTCTGTTTTATGGTCACTCAGAGTTAGTCAGAGGGATCATCTGCTGTGGCTGCTGCACCCCTGGACAAAGCCTTGGACAAGAAACTCTAAAGATGCCACAGATTTGGAAAGCCTCGACTAAGTCTACTTCAGTTTTGCCTGTTAGGAGCCTCTGTCTGCACAACCCTATGGACCTCATAATGCTTGTTAACAAACCCTCCTCCACCCTTTGTGTCCATAATGCTGCTGCTGCTCAAAGGATCTTTCAGTGCTGCGTTTGAAGGTTCAGCTTTGGCTCTGCTGCTTTCAGCAGGCACCAGAGTCTTTACTACTTAATTTTGTGCATCTTCTCTTAATCGCAATTTCTCTTTTAACTGCTTCGGTTTTGCCAATGAGTCCTTTTCATTCCACAGAGCCGCAGCAATTATTTCTCTTAGCCTTGCTCTTGATCCAGCCAGAGTGCTTCTGGGTTATTATCTATGGATGACTTTCCTGAAATGATGGGATAGACCATTGTACCTACCTGCAATCATAATTAATCCCACTAAAATGGCATTGAATTGCTCAACAGTAAAGTGCATCGTCACTCTGCTCCATCCCCCAGCCAAGGGCTTGGGGAACAGAAAGGACAAAGCAGTGCAAGTGTCGGATGTGAAAATATTCCAGATCCTGGTCTTCAGCCTCTGAACCAGAGGGCTTTTGTGTGTGCTTGTTCTGACAAAGCACACAGCTTTCACAGGAGGGTTTCTCAAAGCTGGTTTTGCACAAAATTAGGACACGGATGAGGGTCTGGAAGTGGCCGTAGGGAAACGTCCTGTCCTGCCATAGTCCATCCACTGATGTTAAGCAGATTTTACTTCTAGTTCTGTATGTGTGTGAAACAAGTGAAATTATGCTTATTTACACATGTGAAGCTCTTTGAGCGGTTGTATTAAAGCCTCTTCCAGTGTGTACCAGTGGGATAAGGGAAAGCAAGTGAGGGAATGGTTGTCCCCATTTTACGCATTTAGACCTCAGGCATAAAAAAGCAAAGTGACTCACCCCAAAAGTCATGCAAGAAGTCCTGTATTGCGGAGCATGTCACGCAAAGACACAAAGTGAATAATTAAGGTCACCAGGAAGTCTGGTAGTTTCGAATGATACACAGTCTTCTTTGAAAGCTGCGCAGGGAGTCGCTTAACACTGACTGCACCTTACCTGCTTGTGGCTGGAGACATGTCACAGGGATTGAAGTACCCTGAGTGGGTAGTTTGGTGGCCTATGCATGTCTGTGCTGCCATGCCACGCACTCTGATTCAAGGCTCCTGGCTAGTCTTGTGTTCCCCAGGTGAGTAACACTACAGGCAGAGCAAGGCACACGTCCTTGGAGAAGGTTGATGTTTGCAAGGTATGTACTGCTTCGTTGTATGTTGTATACAGGATAGAGTGGCTCTGCTGGCAGAGCGTGTCGTTCTGGAAAAGGACAACGCTATTCCTCTTTGGAGCAGACTGGAGTTTAAATTTTGCAAGGAAGCTTGTAGATATGGACTTAGTGTTTGAGAAGTCTGGGATTAATGTACAAGCTGAAAGCTTCTGTTCCGGTGAGCAGCAGTGAAGTGGTTAAGTGTCAGTGTTCAAATGGCTGCTGTTACATGGTCTGTAAGACAAATGGGATGCATTCATGCCTTTGGGTGCCTTTGCTGTGGGCTGTGGCTTGGAAAGGCCAGACTGCTTCAATTTATGTTCTGAAGAGTCTTGAGGTTAGAAATTCTTCAAAAAGTTTTCAATGTGAGAAAACAGGTAGGAAATCAATAGGGAAGATAATTACTTGAACTTGGAGATATCTTCTGTGCACCTGAACAAAAATGTGCATTACCATGGAAAATATGAAATGCTGGACCTTCTGGTGCTGCAAGAGTGTTTGGACATAGTGGTGCAGATTTTGGAGATGGCTGTTTATGCTGCAGAGAATCCCTTACACAGGCTAATGCTCAATGTCAGATGAGAAATGTCCTAGTAAATGTTTTTCACAGTTAGTATATATATATTTATAGAAACTAACATCTGAGGCCAGCAAGCCATAAAATGAATTGTACAGTATTTTATTATCTTCCTTGCAAATTTGACGGCAGAACTCCTAAATGGTCTTATGCAGTGAAATTCAACACCATCCTTCGACCTTCAACCGTCAGACAAGCGGACAAACATTTTAATGCTGGGAAATGCCTGGGTCAAACAGGAGTTTGGTGTTCTCCAGCTCATTATTTGAATTCTTTGTGGTGGCTAGGATTACATATTCTTTCCTTTTTCAACACGCTGTTTCATTACAGGGTGCTAACACTGCCGTGAGCAAAAAAAAGAATCATTCTTAAGTGTGAATATAAAGAATTAATGCAGCATCCGCACCCAGTTCTTTGCAGTTTTCGATGATAAAATGGGAGCTGGTTTCTGCTGCCATTTTAACTCGCAGAGCATAAGGAGCTTCTGGTGTGATGGAGGGTCAGGGTGGGCGATTTCTTCCTTTGATAGCCAACACACAGGAAGACATCCCGTCCTCAGCACTAACTGAATAAAGGCTTGAAAGCAGGATGGCACACTCTAACCGATCAATTTGTCATTGGCTGACCTGAGAGGAAAGATGAAAAAGATTCAAAAGCAGATAAATAATTGACATTACTAGCCTTGAGTCCATTCAGCTCACAACCTTTTCTCCTTGATATTAAAGACGGCCGAGTTGCTTTTGGCAGCTGCTTTCTTTGGCTCAGGCTCCCCTGCAGCCTGAATGTTTGATTGTGGGAGGAAATAAAAACTAGACCTGAGCGGCAAGAGGTGTTCACATGTGCTGTGCATGGAGGGGTTGGGAGTGTGTGCAGCCTCTCTTTCCACTGCCTGGCTGCAAGGCTCCTGAGAGCAGAGCGTTTTCTGTAAGTAGAAGTATATATATATATATAAGATGTCAGGCACTCGGTGCTCTGGGAAGTAGTGTTTTTACATATCCCAGTACTTTTCATCTTCCCTGTAATGTGGCATTTGGTTAATGAATGTGCCAGAGTGAGAAACCCAAAGGAAACCCCTGGCTGTTTTCCCAGAAACTTTATTAATTTTGCTGTTCTCAGTTCTGAGGAATAGGTAAGGTCCCTACCCCTGCTCCAGAGAGGCTCTTAAGTATTTTTTAAACTGTTACTCCTAAAGTAGGTTAAACCGTAGGTGCCTGAACCCTTACAATACCCTCTCAAGGTAAGGCACTTGCAGAGTGGGGAGGGAGAGTCTGCTTTTCCAAATGCCCCAGCATGAGGTACAAATGGGAAACCACTGACATGAGGACCACCAAACAAAGCTGTAGGTGAAAGCACAGGGTGGTTGTCCCTGGTTTCCCCAAGGACCTGGCTTGAGCTTTGTTACATAAAAGCCAAGCACAGCGTCATGTGTGTTCTGGTTCTGGAGCATCAGAGGGGTGTTCAGGACCAGCAGTTAAGTGATGGAAATGCTGCCCCCCATCAGGAGCTCATGGGCTGCGAGGTCCTGAATCGCTGAGGCACAAAATAGTTTCCACCCCAATATCTTTCTTTCAGCACCTGAAGGTTTCTCTGCTCCTTATGTCTGCTTTGTGCCTTTGTGCTGTGTGCCTGAGCTTGCCTCCATTGGTGCAAGTATTTTATCTAACCTCTTTTTCATATTTCTATCCCTAAATTTTTTCACCTCCTCTCCTCAGCCTTCTCTGTAAATGTTAGATTTAAAAGGTTATGTACAAACATGCAAGTTATAAAGAAATTGCCAAAAAAAACCCCTTAAAATCTAGAGTCTTCAGAGTTTGTCTGCTATTATGCAGAGAAGATCGTGGAAGCAAATATTAGTCATTAACATAATTTTCTGTGTTGAGTCAACATCTATTTTTAGGTGTGGAGCACATAAAGGCAACTCTTTGACACATAAAACACATAGACATCCATTTGACATCATCTGTGTTCGGGCTGAGGCTCAGGAAGAGGGGAAGACAATTGCTGAATGTATTGTACTTGTAATGGGAACCCCCCCACTTCCTTTCAGACACATTTTAAGGCGTAGTGCCGGAGTGTACTGATCTGTTTAGATTGAAATAAATCAAAGTGAAGTGCAGAATATTCATATTTGGTTCCAGTGCTATTTCAGATGTGCTGCAAAGTAGTTCTTCATGATCTGTGCTGAATACTTGCCATTAGGATTTATCCAGGAAGTGTTTTTATGATGTTAAATGTGTGTATTCTAAATGTATATATTATTTTTAAAGTGCAGAAGGCTTTTTATGCACATATTATAATTATAAATCTGATTCATAGGTAGAAGAGCAGTTAAAGAGTCTTGATTTAGTAATTTTCCAGCAGCATACATGCAGTGCCACAGCTAGATTTTCTTGTTTGCTTGGTCATAATATTTTATGGTCTGGCTCTGGGCTTATAGTGCAAGGGAACTTCTCATGATAAATTGCAGATACGACAATGAGTGTCAGTATACAGCTCCCTGAGCAGATGTTCATTTAGTCTAATTTCACCAGTACTTTACTGTTCATCCAGAACAGATCTTGCCAGCTCAGGATGCAAACACAAAGAGAGAGAGCACAAAAGATCACTCTGCAAATAACCTGATCTGTTTCAGACACTTGGAAGGGGAAAAGAAAAGCATGCTGGAACTTCAGAATGCGAGTTTGGCTACAGCAAATCATCCATACACCCACACCCAGGGGGGTAAATTTACAGAGCCGTGCGTGGGAAGTTGCACACTAATCTACCTCTGAACAATAGTTATTTTATGACTGCACTTAGAGAACCCTTGTGTCTGTTTTTGAGGTCTCTCTAGCTCTTCCTTTGTTCTTCCAGCCTTCCCTGGCTTTGTTGGTTTTGCAGAGCAGGTAACGTCTGAACTCCAGGGCTGTGGCTTGTGAAAGAACAGAAAATTAGCTGTCTGTTGAAAATGCAAGTGTGGCTCTAGCTCACTAACATCCCTTTCCTTCTCTCTCCATAGGTGTCATATGCCCGTCCAAGTTCAGCATCCATCCGAGATGCGAACTTGTATGTCAGCGGCCTTCCCAAAACAATGACCCAGAAAGAGTTAGAGCAGTTATTCTCACAATATGGGCGCATCATCACCTCACGGATTCTGGTTGATCAAGTCACAGGTTAAAAGAAAACCTTCCTTGATACATGCATGTTTTTCTGGAAATGGCACGATTTTCAATGCTTGCTGTCGGTTGGGTTTTAAGACAACACGCCTTGTGGTGTAAAATGCAGTATCTGGTTCTTTATAAGCATGACTGCTGCCTCTTTAATGAGGGGATCTCAAAGTGCAGAATGTTGTTTACTTAAAATCATTATGTTAAATATGGTGGGGCTGATTTTTGAGATTATAGATTGAGAAGAGGATTTTTCTTTACAGGATTTTCCTTAATTTGCAAACCACATATTCTGTGAAGTAAAAGCAACACTGAGTTTATGTTCGTTACATAGATGAGGCTGTTCCTACAAATGTTCATCTCTTCATGTGTTCTTACTTCCCAGGGGTTTCTCGAGGTGTGGGATTTATCCGTTTTGATAAGAGAATAGAGGCAGAAGAAGCCATAAAGGGACTAAATGGCCAGAAGCCTAGTGGTGCTACAGAACCAATTACTGTGAAGTTTGCCAATAACCCCAGCCAGAAAACAAGCCAGGCACTCCTTTCACAGCTGTATCAGTCTCCCAACAGACGCTACCCTGGACCACTTCACCACCAGGCTCAGAGATTCAGGTAATTACCTGGAAAAGAACTGAAGTTCCACCAGCGACGACAATATGGGGCAGGTGCCGTGCAGGAAAATATGCTTTAGTTGCGTAGGCTGACCTGATTTTCTTTGTAAAATTAAATATTCTTTCCTGGAGAATGAGGAGGAAAATCTGCTGACAGCAGTAGTCATGTTGTATTTACTAAAACAGCTGAAGTACTGTACAATCAGATCTCATGAAAGCTCATAGAAAAAGGGAGGACAGAACAGAGTTACACTGATAATCAAATGAGCAGTGACTATCCTGTTCTCTCTTTTTTGGTAATGCTTTTATTTGCTGCTGTATTACTACAGTTTTGATGCAGCATAGACTTTGATGTTAATGACAGTGGATTGGTAGCAGGAAAAAAGCTGAGTCTGTTCCAGTCAGCAGCAGTATCATTAAATTTATTAGCCTGAGATATCTGCTCTTAGTATAAAGAGACCTTGTATTAGTCTTTGGTGTGATACTTCAGATGCTTTTGGGGATGTTTTATGCTTTGCGTTCTGAATACTCTGTTTCCATCTGATGCGCAAGGCAGAGTTAGCAATACATGATGTTCCCATTACTTTTATACTTAATAGTTTTCAGGCAACCCAGCTCTCAAATAAAAAGTCTGCCTTCAAAAAGGAAAACTTGGACATATTTGCATACCTGACATGCATACTGGCTTTAGAGAATTATTCAGAGGTAATTTTAGCTTTTCAGTGATGAAAAGTGCTAGTGAATTAAAGATCCTAAAAAGTCACTCATTGGATGCATTAAATTTATACTTGTTTTTGTGTCTTTGGCATGCAGCTGTGTCCATTGAGGTTATCACTGAATCATTCCATGGATAGAAGGGCTTAATTGTGCTCCCATGGAAAGCAGATGATTATATTGTGCAAAATTTGGTGGTCATTTAGACTGACATATTGGGAAGGATTAATTCTAAATATATGTAATAAAATGGGAAAGATGTATTGTGGTAAAGCAGTTGGAGTCAAGAATTTTCCCAGTTTCACAAATTTGGCACTCTGACATTTTACTTCAAGCTCATTGTAAATACAAGGTGAGCAGTTGAGTTACTTGCAAAAATTTCATACTAATAATGTCTCAAAGAAAAAAAAAAAAGACCAAAGTGGATTTTTTTAAAACCAAACTCTAGAGATGAAGGTTTTCTCTAAGACTGTAGACTAGTTTAAAAAAGGCTTTTAAATACTGTGGTATAAATTTAAGCACAACCTCAGACTTAACAAAGCAGGCCGGGAGTTGTTAGGCTCCTTAGATGTGTGGGAAACTTGTTGAACGTTTCTTCTTTGAAAATGGAACACTATTAATAATAGTTCCATTGAGCGATCTTGCCATCTGTGAGACATTAACCCAAAGACCCTCCTTCTCTTTTCAGGCTGGACAATTTGCTTAATATGGCCTATGGCGTAAAGAGGTAATTAGAATTCCACAGATTGCCAGATGTCCGTGTTGGCACAGATTGGTGCTACAATTTATTTTTTTTTAATTCACTAACTTTATTTTTTTTTATTCCTTCTTTTCTTCCACCAGCATGTCAAATTCTTTTTAAGTTTGGACTTCAGTTGGTTTTGTTACTTTAAAGGCCGCACACGCAAGTTCTGTGGGTTTTTTCAACCTTTTTTGATTTACAGGTGGGCTTCTCAAATGGTTTAGGTGCCACAGCCACAAGCATTCAAACTGCAGGAGCCCTGCTAAATGGTGCTTTGTCCAGAATCAAAGCTGTTAACTTGAGTTTTCACCTAATCTCTGATCTGATAATGCCAAATTTAAGTCAAAATGAGAATTAGGCTGCTGTCATCTAAATCTCACATTTCAGACCACGTTTCTCCCTCATCTGGCATCATAAGTTTAACTTAAAAATACAGCTGTGTGCACCTCAATCAGCCCGAAGTTCTTTTGTTACAGGTTTAATACTTTGAATTTTTTTTCAGTCCTTCAAATTTCTTTTTTTTGTTTGGAGTAGCTGTGTGTTTGTATGTGCACGCATGTGTGAAAGCTCAGCTGATTTGTAAACATTTATGCTGTTTCATGAGTATGTTTGATCTGATAGCTAAAACGAGTTGACGTGTTGTTAGTGTTTCTTCTAACGGCACACACCAACGCGAGCGACCCTTACAG